TATATATATATATAAATATCAACAACTCATAGCCCGAGTAGTAAATACATCACCAAACGATCGCCTAAATATCGGGCTATAATACGGCTAATTAAATGATTGGAATAAAGTAATTTGACACTAGAGGTAGACGTTAGGCGCCATCTCTTAAGTAAATTAATAATTAAATAAATAAATCAATAAATAAATTTAGAATCTTCTGGAATAAAAGAACTGGCCCGGGGGGGGACTCGAACCCGCAGCCTCCGCTTGCCGTGCAGCGCGCTTACCAGTTACGCTACCCAGACCCTCGGGCTATGAGTTGTTGATATTTATATATATTTATGCATCTAAAAGTTGAAAAAAATATTTCATACATCTCAACACAATTCTTATAGCACTGTTAATAATCATAAAATCATTTACACAATAAACAGTGCAATAATAATAATAAATTTTTCATATTTATGGTTAATATATATGGTTATTTAAATGAAAAAATTCAACATTATTTTCTTTATAATATAAACAATTATTTTTATAAATATAATAATTATTGTTAGGTATAGTTATAAAATCTAATAATTATTATGTTTAAGTTTGAAAAATTTGTCACTATGTATAAATATCAACTTCCCAAAATGTATTGACACTAAGCTAAATGATTGCTGTAATTAATTGGGCTATTAATACACTATAATTAATAATTAGAAACTAAGTAATTTGGTACTAGAGGTAGATGTTAGGTGCCATCTCTTACCTAAATTTATAATTATAATAATTTAATTTGTTAAATAATTTAAAACCATTTGAAAGAAAAAAACTAGGACAGAGTGGGGCTTGAACCCACAACCTCCACATTACTTATTTTCTAATTATTAATTATAGCATATTAATAGCCTGATTAATTATGACAATCGTTTGGCTTACTATGTTTTAGCACCATAAATCTTTCAAAAGTGCCACTACTTTGTTTATGGTCAAAATTATAGTTATAACATTTTATCATCTTCAAGTGTCAATGCAGTGTTAGTGCTGATTAATTATATTAATTGTGAAAGTAAATAATGAGTGATGGACGGAAAAAGCTGAGATGTCATTAATATTTAAAAATAAGATGTTACATCTTAAACTTCATTTTGAAATTTTCAATATGAAACCAAGCCTGAATGCTAGTTTGCACTCTGTCAATGGTTACAGAACAAAGATTTGCATATTATTTATCCTAATGCTGATATCACTCTGATGGGAATGTTTTTGTGCACACCTACTTCAAATTGTACAGCTGAACACTCTTTTTTGGTGTTTAAAAAGAATAAGAAGCTATCTACATTCTAATGTGACAGAAAATAATATCAATGCATTAGCTATATTAGGCATAAAAGCTGAAACTGGAAAAATTAGATATTCAGTTAATCATTGATAAATTTGCTCAAAGAAAGAGCTGAAGAAAGCCAATCAATACTTAATAAGTAATATTTGTTCAAAATTTAATTAATTAAAATAAATTATTTTCAATGTATTGAAAATAATTTATTTTAATTAATTAAATTTTCACTATATACTCTTCATTATAGTCCTAAATACAGGGTGTTCTATATTAAATTTGACATTTCCCAGCTGGCTACAGCAAAATCTATTCATCAGAAAGTCATGAAAGTTTGGAAATGCATTAATGAGATATTAGAAATAATATTTCTAATTTGTACAACAGTAGTAGAGATTTTGTAACACCTATTACAAAAATATTATTTATTACAAATTATACACATCCTATTTTTATTTATTTATTTAATTTGTTTTTGTAAACTGTTTTAGATAATCCCATTTTGGATCATCAAGTTTCTACTGTATTGAATATTTTTAAAATGTTTATCAAAAAGCTCTCAACAGATAACCAAATGGCTGAGACAAATGATAAGATCAGCATATTACTCTGGAAATCCTGAATCAAATTCATGTAATTGAAGAAATTTTTCATGGGTGATCTGTCCTAATATGTCATTCCCTATCCCTCATCATTTGGCATACTCATTATAGGCTGTCTGAACCAATGATGAGCACAGGAAAAAAGGCCCTCTTATTGCCCCAAAATAGAAAGAGTAAAAATTCTCAACATAAAAGAAATTTCAACTTAAATCTTGACAATATTTGATGAAAATAGCCTGAAATGCCAGTGATGGATGGTCAGAGAGGTACATTGCACTACTGCATTTTCCTAATTGTTGTTTTGTGGTTTTTTTTCAACTTCACTTTAGTTGTCATATCAGATAACTTGACACATTTCCACTTCCCCTTGGGGTGTCGATTTATGTGGACTTGACTTTTTTGTTCTCAGTGAAATGTTTATTAAACATTTCACTGAGAACAAAAAAGTATATAGTAATTTATAATATAACTGTATTATAAAGAAAAGAAAAACTAAATACATGATAAATACTAAGTGTAAGAGAAAGTAATGTTAATGAGATCTTTGACATATTTTCAAGGTCAGGATTACATGGTAAAACATAATCTTAAATATTGATTAAAGTGTTCATCACTCAAAGAATTTCTTATTTCTGATTTTAAAATGCTCATATAGGCATATAGGCTTATTAGGCAAAATGCAATTTTGCCAAATATGTAAAGCCAAAACAAAACATTATTTTTGTACCTGTGTTTGTAAGGATTACATATTTCTTTAGATTTTAAATATAAATCATTTTGAATTTTTATTACTTTCATCTTTAGTTTTGTGTGATTTTCATCAAACATTGTCAAGATTTAAGTTGAAATTTCTTTTATGTTGAGAATTTTTACTCTTTCTATTTTGAGACAATAAGAGGGCCTTTTTTCCTGTGCTTGTCATGGGTTCAGACAGCCTATAATGAGGATGCCAAATGGTGAGGGATAGAGCATGACATATTAGGACAGATCACCCATGAAAAATTTCTTCAATTAGATGAATTTGATCCAGGATTTGTGTGCAATGTGAACTCGTTTTTTTCAAATGTCTAAATGAGTGTGGGACAGCAAAAGTATGTCGATTTATCCAGTGGTGACAAGTAAACCAGAGTTTTTAACATCAATACCTATGTAAGTCAGCTGGGACCACAGAAAACTGACTACGTAACCGATGGTGTCTAGTTTTACCTATGGTGACTTATGCAGACTCGACTATATATCAGATTCTAATGTACTAATATATACATTGAGAGATTACAATAGTAATATAAAAAACTAGCTTGCATAAAGAGAAAGGTTGAGCAGTCCTGATGTACAGTGTAAATCACTATATACTCTTCATTATAGTCCTAAATACAGGGTGTTCTATATTAAATTTGACATTTCCCAGCTGGCTACAGCAAAATCTATTCATCAGAAAGTCATGAAAGTTTGGAAATGCATTAATGAGATAACGGGATTTTTTCTAGAGAAAAAAAACTAGTTCCATAAAGCACAACTAGAAGGTGTATTATAGCTTTATACAAAACATAACAATGAGCTAACACATTTGTGTAATGGGAACAAAACATATTCAAAACATAATGGTCAACCATTGTCTGATACCATCTGAAAGCATAAAGCATCATGTTCAATGGTTGCATACAGTGTATGCTTTGGAATATTATGCACTTGATGTGCTATGCTGTCCTTAAGGTCTGACAGCAATGTTATAGTGTGGTCTTTGTGTTGTAAGGATAATTATAATTATCAACACTTTTCTTACAAATCACAAACAGGTTCTTTTATTTATGGATCCCAATTGATTCAGATACAATCATTACAACGTGATGGGTACAAGAAATCGCGGGGTGACGTTAACTTGGGGCGTGACAATAAGTATTTTCTATACACGTGATAAAATCTAACTTAACCTAACTTAAACCTAGCTTAATACTACGGAAAATATAAGAAGGATAGGATAGCAAGAAGGAAAATAGAAGGAAGAAGCAACTTCACCCGGGACTTTCCTCGTTCTTTCCGATATGATTTTTCGCTCTAGGTCGGATCGTTTTTATTTTTCGCTCTCTTTCCAACTCTTACTGTGTCCTCGGATCTACTTCCTTGGTGAAGCAAAATGTCTTCAGTTTTTCTATCGTTGGGCCTTCAGCCGTGGGGACTCTGATTCTCTCCAGTCCGTCGCTTGACCCTCCCGAGAAGTCTCTCTTTCTTCGGCTCTCAGTCAAGTCCGGAGTTCACCTCGACACGTCTTATTCTCTCTGTGTCTCCTTCGATTCTCTCCCTTCTTACCTCCTCAGTCCCCTCTACACACCCTTCTTTGTTCTTCTCTCAGAGGGGTGTAATTTCCTGCACTATTGTTCTTTGCGATTCACAGAATCGCTAATCCCCCCTAAAGGCTATAACGGTCATGGAATGTTCTAGAATGAACACACAAAGAAATCGAAGAAATAGGGAAAGAATATTAAAGCTAAAAATATGTATATGCCAATAATAATAAAATAAACGTATTCCGATATGGCCACCGGCCACAATAGGATCACAATAGACCAAGTCTTTGAGATAGCCCCAGAGCCAAAAATCACATGGATTTAAATCTGGATCAATATGTCACTATCTGTATATTTCTATATTCAATGATTGACTCAACAGCAAGAAAACAATATTTCTAAATGGACTGTTGAGACTAGTGATGTCAGTGCTGTTTCACCGTTGGTCTCAATGACCTGAAAGACCGTTGAGTATTCAACAAACTAACATGGCGGCTTCCACGAAACAACTTCACTTACAGAAACTCAATTCGCTCTTGTTGTGGATGCTGTAATAGCAAACAGATTAGTGAATAATCTATATATGATGTGATTGCACAATTATGTTGGATAATTTGGTCAATATTGAAATATTAAGATTTTTTCCAGAAACAACCACTACAAATTTGTCCAAAATTAACTACAATGGATATTTGGCTCTATTTAAGTCTTCCTAATGATATAAATATTCAAAAAATTCAATTAAAGAAAGACCCAGTATAGAAGAAAATGATAGAGATAAGGGTTCATTTGAATAAAAGGATTTATTTGAATAATGGTTAAGTGAGTTACTTTAATTATTTAGCAGTGGCGTGCCGTGACATTTGATGATAGGGAAGCTGTGTTTCTATAAGAAGCCGACTTCCAGGGGCAATCAGTCAGTGGTGGTCTAGGGTCCATTCGTATTCGTTTGTTTGATAAGCCAGTAAAAACTGTAGACTTCTCTAAATGTATTTTTAATTAATAGATTATCTAACGCACTTAATAAATAAGCAAGTTCAATATAATTAACTCTCTTATATTAGATTTAATAGATTCTATACGCCCTCTAAATGCCAATTCCCGCTTCAATAACATCTACTATTTAAAATATATCTATTAGCCGTAACTATCTGGTTATAATTTTCAATATATATTTTATATTGTGTACTAATGTTAAATTCTATTCTATTTTGATTTCCAAATTGCTTCAATTTTACGAAAGAATCGATGCGAGATTTAGGATTTTCGTGTCTTTTGCCAGCTTTACTCAAATTATTTAAATCGTCAAAGCCAATCTCATTCTACACACTAATTTTATTTGAAAATAGTAGGCAAGGCCAACAAAACAAATTTTGCATTTTTATGCATCCACAAAGCCATTTTATATCTTCATAAATTTTATCATGAAAATGTCGAACAAATTTTTTCTTTTTCATTATATGGTCTCGAGCCAAAACTTTTTGAAATAAATTTTCGATATCACAATTACATTCTAAATTGCTAGCTATAATATAAGGGCTAAAATTAAAAATAAAATTATAAAAACTTACTTGTTAAAATAAAATGTGTGATGATATACAATTATACATACCTGGTACAAAATATTCAATTGTATGAATATACTTTTAAAGAAAATTATAAATATAGTTTTGTGAAGAAACGTACATAAAAATAACATAAAATAGTCTTTACTTTTTAAATATTAAAACAATCCACCTAGTTAAAATTGCTCCCTACCAGTGGCTCGTGGATGGAATCAGAGACGGTCTTGGTAGGTGTGCGGTGCGGTGCATGCTTGCCAAATCCCGAGGGTGCCGATACCGGTTAATGTCTCTTTTGTCTCATCACTAGTATATCTCAAAGGACGCGACAGGGTTGTTGTAAATTTTAAACGTTTCTCATCATAGCTGTAAAAATCTAAATTTGTTAAACTTAAAAGTCATTTGTTTTCTAACTACTGTAATTCGTTTTAAGACCAGGTGTCCACGGAAATTTCCAAAATTTACAACTTTTACTCACTTTCATTGAACTGGAAAAATTTCTGTCTTTATTACATCTAATATTACGAAGAAATCAGTCCCACTGTACTCGGCTAGATATTGGTCCGGTTAGGCTTTTGTTTAAGTAAAATTCCGGCTCTTTCATCAGGGTTTTGTTTACGTCCCCAATTCCCTAATCGCTTAATTATTTAACTACTTCTTAAGTAGAAATAAGTCGAAACCAGTTACTTTGTACTCGAATATTTGTAGTCTCGGGAAAAAAGTGGAAAGACAAATTTTTACGACAACGGATACATAAATCGTAAATTTAAGGAAAATAAATTCTAGAGCCTTTTCTGTACCTGGTGCATCTCTCTCATTCATTAAATTTAGTTGTAAATGACGCTGTCGAAGTAACGGTTAATTTTTTAACATTATACAAGAATTGTACACGTTTTTTTCTACATCCCCTTAAAGATGGGATGTACGAAATCGTAATATCACTGGTTTAACATCGAAATCCGTGAGTAATATAAAATCGGAGAGCGGAATAAATATATCAAATATTTTAATGGATTTTTTAAACTCCTGTCAACTATACAGAACTATCGTAAAAACATACCAGTAAATTCTTATCGGTTGGGTTAAGTTATAAATCTACTCGTTATTCACGTAATCGAAATATCTAGTGGGCAGGCGGCTAACAGCCCAGAACCGGTCCTTGATAGAATTGGAATCTTTATATGTGTGCAGCTTTCACCCAAGGTCGTAGGCTTCCACCGGCTAAACCGGGTGAGGTTGGTGCTCTGTAAAGCGCATGCGCAAATCTGGCTTTTCGTAATCTGAAAATACAGGAGATTCCACTCCGCCGCTAATATTCTAATATACAATAGCAATTTTTTTTCCACGTAGTATAGAAATTTGTAATAAGACACGTAATGCGGTTATAATAAAATATTGTGCGATTATTTTCATATAATTAAAATTAATATTTATTTATTTTTTAGAGAATACGAGGGAAGCGGCGCTTCCAACGCTTCTATTGACGGCACGCCACTGTTATTTAGCAAAACAGTCACAGTCTCCTTAAATTGCCTTCTCCTTAATTAAGTCAGCCATCATGAAAGTGCCCTTTCAACAGAAACATTTTTATTTTCTACAAAATGTGATGTCAGATCATTCAATAGAGAGACTCAATGGAGAACTAACCAATGATATAAGTGTTGAATTTAGAAATGTATGGTATTTCAGTTTGAAAAATGCTCTCTAATGGTTATTTTTAAAACTAACTTTTCTTTCCTCTAGAAAAAAACTCCCCATTATCTCATTAAGGCATTCCCAAACTTTCACGACTCTCTGATGAATAGTTTTTGTTGTAGCCAGCTGGAAAATGTCGTGTTTAATTTGGGACAACTGTAAGGAGTCAAAGTCTGATGGTTATTTTATACTTTGGCATTATTTTTAGTTATAGTTATTTTCTTTTCAGGATCTTTTTATTGAAGATGGAAACTCCTTAGAAACCCTCAATGTGCTAATTTCAAAAAAGGCAAAGTCACTAATTTGCATCAGTGACTGATCCTGTGATGCAAATAAAAGTAAATAGGGCAGTATGGAGCTACACGGAGAACCAGATAAAAGATGACACGTCCATTCAGCAGTGTGGTGTTGCTCCCGACAGCAACTGTTGTAGAAACAACTTGTCTGATATTCTTAATAAATGATCAGCGTAATAAATTTATACTTTGTTCAAGTATCTTTTGGGTGGAGATTTGATTTTGATTTGATATATACTTCTATATATATGAAAAGAATTTCTTTGATTGATTGTTTATTTTTGTTATTTGACTTCTTCAATATTTGAAATAAATACTAACTCTTGTTATAATTAATCATTGTTGTTATTTATTTCATTACTGATCAATTTAGTAAATATTTATTTTGGATTTGTACTTATAAGTGTTCTGACCCTGTATAATCGATATAATACAAACCTGATATCTGTAGAGAACATCTGATTCATATATAAAACGATGAGGATTGGATCCTTCTCTTGTTATTACCACTAGACCATATTTTTCAACAATTTCTCTAATCTATTAAATACATAAACTTTAGTTAGTTTTAAAATTTAAATACATTTAAATCTAATCAATAATTAAACGTTATAAGATTTAATTAACAGAAATAGCATTTAAAATCATTGTAAGTTCCATATTTTTATATGTAAACACAATATATGTAAGCACATATTTTTAATGCATATTAATTAATGCTATACAATCATATATCAAATAAAAATATAGAAAAAATATTTACATCATTTTGCTTCCATATTTTAGTATTACCAAATGATTCTAGTAAATCTGCACCACATAACAGTTTTACTTGAATAGGATAATCATTATCAAAAATACAAGATTGGTTATTTGCAGAAATATCTACAAAAATTTTATAATAGTGTATTTTATTTTATATTAATAACAATAATTTTATTAATAAGATTTATTATAATTATTTAAATTCATGGGAGTAAAGATTTCAAGAAAAATGCAACCGTAATTTATGCGCAGCCCTTTCCCGGCCCTGTTATGTTTGAGGGGAGGCATGACGATCGGTCAAAAAACGATCCCCTAACAATTTTACATTTTTGGACTCGACATCTCGAAATGAAAAAAAAAAAAAAAAGGTTTTTTTCTGTATGTATGGATTTAATGTGGGGAACATGATTTTCTTCACCATTTTTATAGCTTAATAACTCCTGTGCTTTTTATCGAAAATTTCTGAAATTTTGCAAGAAGGTTTGTATGTTAGGG